CCTTGTTTGACATTACTACCTGTGGTTTTATTTTTTAGTAGGTTTCATTTTACAGCTACCTGCTGTTATATATAGGTTGATAGCAACCATCCAGGACAGTACAGGTACTCCTCACTTAACAACTTACCCATTGAATGATCACTCGGACTTATGACTAGCTCTCTGACCAGTGTACCATATGTGTAAATATATGTTTTTAATGCCTGTTCTATTTTTAATATACTAAAAATGTTATAAATGGTGCAAAGGTGACATTAAAACAAAGATGGTTGACACAAACCCACTACCAGCATAATATGCTTGAAATATCAGTAACAGGCAGCACCTCGCTTTATGACCAGTTCACTTACCGACCTACTCTTAGGAAAGGAACTCGGTTGTTAGGTGAGAATTACCTGTACCACCATACTGTTAAATTGGGTATGAAATGGAAGCCTGTTAAATATTTTATGCTTTGGCAGGTGTTTTCATTTCATCTTTTAATATGTAAGCTGTAACATATGCTCTACCTTCCCTTTAACAGAGGAGAGAGCATTGATGATGTTGAAGAGCTCTTGATCCAAGGAATTGGGGCTTGAGTCAAATCTGATTACTTCTCATTCAGTGGGTACTGTATGACCCATAAAGGGTTAGTGCTTCTCTCTGAATATAAAAATCTACTGTCCTGTGTGTTTCTTGGCAGTTCTTGTAATACAGTACAATAGGTTCTTAGAAACTATGACTAAGTGAAATGTATAACAAAACCACACCTCGCTGTCGACAGTGAAACCTCTTTAAAACTTCGTTTTGTTTCTGATATCACACTTTTTCTGTGTTTTTGTGGCCACAGACATCAGGGGTGCACAGTGCACGTTTAGCACTCGTTGCAACAGGGTTAAATCAAGGAATAAATGTTTGTAAAGTGAAAACTAAGGAGTACCTGCTACCACACATAGTTCAACAACAAATATGGTGGACTTGCTGGGCGCTTTCATACCACATCGTTTATTGTTGTGCATTTGTATGATTATCATATACTTTATGAATTTTTATTTTACTTTTTCACGGGACAGTGGCCCCCCCCAAGAAAATTTTTTTTTTTTTTGTCAATGTTAAAACGAAATAATTTATTCAAGGACTTAATATACTTTTTTTTCCTTTCCAAATTTGGAGAAAAACGGGTCAATGATCCTGGAACCACTGAAGATACTACCCTGATGCTTTTTTTTTTTTTTTTTTTTAAAAGTCGGCTGCTCCCCACCGAAGAGGGTGACCCAAACAAAAAAAAAACCTCAAAAAAAAATACTTTCACTTCAACCTTTCCCCACCCACACATAATCACTGCTTTTGCAGAGGGCTAAAAATAAAACATTCAATAGGAGTGAATGGAGACAATGGTTTTTGGGACCTGATGATCCGTTGGAGTGTGAGCAGGGTAATATTTATAAAGGAATTCGGGGAAAACTGGTTTTTTTTTATATACCCGGACTTGAGCCGGGAAAAGGGAAGTACAATCCCTGCACTCAAAGGGGAGGGTTTGGGGGATTTTACAGTTTGGAGGGATATTTGTTATCTTTATACTATATCTTCTAAACTTTTGTGTTTGAGCCCTCTGCAAAACAGTAAATTATTTTGGAGTGAGGTGAAAGTGTTGAATGATAATGAAAGTATTTTTTTTTTGGGGATTTTCTTTCTTTTTGGGTCACCCTGCCTCATGGAGACAGCCGACTTGTTGAGAAAAAAAATTAGAGTGATGGTAAAGTGTGAAAAAATGAAAATTTTTCTTTCGGTTTTTTTCTCTTGTTTGGGGCCCCCCGCTCTGGGGAAAAAGCTGACATGTTAAAAAATTTTGGATTGATCATTTTCATTAATCTGTTTTTGATGTTCAGAAGTTTTTTTTCCCCTGGCTGTCTATCCTGAAGGTAGGTAAGTGTTCTATATTTTCTCCCCAAATTGGGAATAATATAGAGGGGAAATTTAAAGAAGAACTTAAAAAAACCCGGTTTACAGAACACACGACTAAACGTGAAAAGGGAAAAGGGCAAAGTAAGACTTGGGATAATTTTGCCTCTGGCAAGACAGGAGAGTGTAAATGATGGTTTTTTTTTCAATTATCTGCCTTGGTGGGAGACACCAGGATGTTTAAAAAAAAAAATTCTCAAAAGGGCCAGAAAATTGACAGGGTAGTAATAACAAAAAAAATAAAAAAAAATGTCTATAGGGGGCCCATTCCAAACACTTTTTCTCTACTTTGGAATATTGCTCAGTGTTGACAGTCTATTCAAGCAAGACATCAAGTTTACGTCAGATTTTTTACTGCCTACAAAAAACCCAAATTTAAAAAACATTTTAACCAGGGACTCCCACTTAGACTGGTTTTGTTCCATAGGGAATTTTTTAATTTACCCAAAAAAGCTTTTTACCAGGAACCCCCGACATCCCACTCCACAAACTTTACCATTTCGGTATAAAAGGCCATGGGCCCTTTCTTATTTTAATCTTACCTTACAAAGTATCAGATGTTACCCTTAAAGACACATCAAAAACACGGCCACTTGATACGGATTCCGCAGGAAGTGTTTTGTCCCCCGCTCTTCCCATGTACTCAAAGATCTTCCAAAGTTCCCAACACCTGAAACCCATTCTCTTTTCTGACGACACGACTTATGTATCCTTTTACCCTAACCCTTGCCCCCCCCCTCAACACCATTGTTAACGAGGAGCTGATCAAAATATCGACTTGGATACAGCCAAAAAAACTTAGCTTAACACGGGCAAAACCTACTATTTTAATGTTTGGTAGCGGGGCAGGAAATGCCCCAAATTTTAACATTAAGTCGACAACACTCAAATTACCAACTAATGGGGAAAATTTCCCTGGGCCCCTAATACCTCCCTTCAACCTAAAATTCCCGCACCCAAAACCAACACAAAACCAAAAAAATTATCCAAAACTTTTTGGGAAACCTCCCCAAGATACGATACAATGTCCCGAAAAAATCCCCTTCTCACACATACCACTCATTTATTTATCCTTTCCTACCTATGCTTTTTGGGGTTTTGGGGGCTCAACTCCCGAAAACACACCTAAAGCCAAAAAAAACCCCAACAAAAAGCTGCAGTAAAATAATCACAAAAAACCCCCCCCGGCAACACCCCCCCCCACTCTTCATAGATCTAAACTTACCCCCAGTTCAGTACATCCCCCCTTACTACTGTGCAATCTTTTATCTACAGGACCAAAAAACTCCATATCAACCTTGCCTAAAACGCTTTCTGTTTGTTGTGACAAAAACCCACGGGCATAAAACCAACAAAAAACATCTCTGCAACATTCCCCATGCCCCGACTAAACCCTTTTAAAAAAATTTCAATGTTGCAAAAAACCCAAAAAACTGAAACACCCTACCTGGAACTTTTAGAACTGAAAGAAAATTTCATCCCCCAAAAAAACCTACCATTGAAAACATTTTATCTCCCTGAAAAACCCCATAAATTTAACACACGAATCCCCACCTGGTGGTTCCCCACACTCACTCACCCATTTGACCATAAACAAAATATTAATCCAATTTTAAAATAAGAATCCTATGATACGCCAAAACTGAAACTATGTACTGGGGCCAAAACAAAAGCATTCAAAATTGGTAAACTCACAAACTAGTTTTTAGTCCTTAGCCATAATCCCAAATTTTCCCTTTAAAAATTTTGAAATACAGGGGGAAACCCCCGCAAAAGGGATCACCCCCCAATGCGACCAATTATGAAGTTTATTTAGTAAGTGCGTTTGTACGTGTTGTTTGGGGGCCCTAAAATGGAAAATTACTTCACAATTTTCCCTTAGGGGACAAAATTGGTCAGTACTGGCACCTGAACATACTACTGGAATAAAAAAAGGGTTCTTTAAAACCCCGGGGGCCCAACTTTTTTTTTAAAAAAATAAAAAATTTAAAACTAAGTCTGCCCGAAATGCCTAGCCTTTCTAGGCGTTCTTGGTACACTTGTAATCATTAGTTAACTACATGTAAACCACACAACAAAAAAATTTCCTGTAAATTCAACATTTTTAAATTTTTATGAGATAAACTTTGAATTTGAATAAAGTAGGGTGGAAACAATTTGGCGTGGGGGGGGGGAAGGAGCCACCCTTACTGTTTTTTCAAGCATCTGTGCGGTTTAGTGGGTTTTTTGTAAACCCAATTAAGATATTTTTTTAAAAGCCCTTTGCACCATTTATAACATTTTTGTTTTTTAAAAAATAAAAATTTGGCATTAAATAAAAAAAGAAAAAATTCCCATTTAAAGTAAAAGTACACTGGTCAGAGAGGGGTTTAAGTCTGAGGGTTTGTAAACAGTGGGGTTCTTTAAATTTTGAGGTGTCCTGTACTAGGAGTGCCTCAAAGTATTTTTGGGGGATGCCTTGGAGCAAAAAAGGGGGAAATAAAATGCATAAGATATTTAAGGCCCTAAGTGTAAAATTTTACACACTACCATTACAAAATGGCATGGACCTTAAAGGGCTTTTCCTTGATCCCAAAGGAAGAGCCTTGATTCGGGAAAATTTTAGACCAAAACCCCTTTTTTCCCCTTGGGCCCCAAAATTTAAATTTTCCCCTCATCCTCCAGGAAATTTAAAACCCACACTGCAAACCCTCCTACCCAAAAGGGTAACTACGGGATGTATAATAAATTCCCCGGGTTTAGGGTGAGTTTTCTGGACATTAAAAATGTTGTTTTTTAAAAGTAGCTGGGGGGAGATCCCGGGCCCTATTTTAAATGTCAAAAATTTCCCCATTCCTATTGGGGTGTTTAGGTGAAACAAAAATTTAAAAGCCAGCCTAAAATTAAAACCCGGGGATGTCTTTGGGATTTCCCTAGGCCTACTGGCCTCCCTGCTCAGGGGCCCTTCTAGGCTTGCGGGGAGCACCCGCTGTATAGCCTTGTGGCTTAGCGTTTCATTTTGATTAAAAAATTAATCAGGTTTTGCTGAGGGAGGGGGGTGTGGGTGTGTGTGTGGTGGG